GTCGCGCCCTGGCCGCCGGGGCCGCCCGGGCCGCCGGGGCGGTGGTGGTCCCGCTCGTCGCGCCAGCCGCCGCCACCGCCGCTGGCGGTGCGCCAGCTGTCTGTCCTGTCCATGGACCCCGGCCTCGCCTCGTCCCAGCGGCTGCCAGAGGGGCGCCGCCCCGCCGGGTCCTCGGGGGGCGGCCCTGGGCGCCCGCGGCCGCCCTGCGGGGGCAGTAGCGCCGATGCGTCAGGCGCGCAGGTGCAGATGCGCATCGACAAACAACATGCACTTGGCACGAGGGCATGCTGTTGGGAGCACTGCGCATGCCTACCCGGCATGCAGAATGGCATGTGCGCGCCGTCCCCTAAGGTTCGCGCGCACCGGTGTGGGGGGCCCGCCAGGGCCCCAGCGCTCTCCGGGCCTGCCGCCATCCGCCGGCATGCCCTCCATGCTGCGGCGCCAGCTGTCGGCGCGGCCCATGCTGCTCGACATCTCCGGCCGGCCGGGCGGCAGCTCGTCGGGCAGCGAGCCGTCTGCCACCAGGCGGCTGCGGATGGGGCCGCCTGCGGGCCGGGGGTAGGGGCAAAGGGTGTGTGGCTGTGCCCGGCAAGAGGCGGCCGCAGCGGCCACACCCAGTTGAGTTGGTGTGCTCGCCGTGCCTAGCAGACTGCGAGCTGCCGCGGGCGCCAGCTGGAAGCTCACCTGGCCGCAGGAAGTTGGCCGGCCCCGCAGGACTGCGCGCCGGGGGGAAGGCCGCCGGCTTGGCGTCCTTGACAGCCCAGTCGGGCTTGGGGCCAGCGTCAAAGAACGTGAGCTCCTCCATCTCCCTGCGCGGCGTCGCATGTGAGGTGGCTTGGGTTATGTCCCAGCTGCTACCCACGCCCTGTGGGGAAACATGGCGCACGAGCCTGAGGGAGGCAACCAATTGGCTGGGCAGCCTGCTGCAGCTGTGGGCGCTCTGCGGCGCCCGAGGGAGATCACGCGCCCTTGCAGAGCAAATCAAACGCGCGATCTGCCCACCTGATGACCGAAATGTCTGCTCCATCTGGCAGCTTGTCGAGGCCAGGGCCCTCGCGGATGGCCAAGAGCTCCTCTCGCGTGTAAATGATCCGGCCCATCTCGAGCGCTTGCTAGGCGCCCAGCGCCGCACCCCAGACTCCACCAGGCAGAGAGAAACACTCAAGTGTCGGCTTATTGTCGGTGAGGGGCTCTACCTGCGGCCAGTGTCACAGATCACCGCTCGAGAGACTAGGTTGGCTTTTGTGTGCCTGAGGGCAGGACTGAAGAGAGACTCGTTGAAGCGTGGTCGACCTGAGAGCCAGATGTTGTGACCACGCGGAGCCGTAGTTTGGACTCCAGGGCTGGTCGACATGGAGCAGCTGCAGGCATAGCAGCAGCAGTGCCTCGACTCACTTGGAGCAATGAGCTTCTCCACAGCCGACCAAACGCTTTGGATATGTATCTTGGCATCAAAGGCACTTCATTCGAAGTATTCTAGCAGGGCAAGATCGCCACAATGCGCGCCGTCGAACTCCGACAGGCGGGATGCTCTGCCCTAAGCATTCGTCGCGTAGGAAGGCCTGCTGTGCTTCGCAACGCGCGGCCCGTCCGAGCGCTCCCTGGTGGCGGTGAGCCGGGCGAGGGGATCGGCGCGCTCAGCACACCTCGACCTACGATCATCCATGCAAGGGAAAATAAAGGTCTGGCAATGACTCTGATAGCAACTCGCCATGACAGGTGTCACCTCGGTCCGCGCGTGCCTGCAGGGAACGATGCTCCCAAGTTTCAGTCCGAGCAGCCCGTGATCCCGCAGCAGCAGTATATTCCTGAGGCAGTTCAGGACGCCCAGCAGCAGTACGTCCCCTATCAGCAGCAGGTGTGCGCGCGAGCGGCACTCCCGCCGGTGGGCTGCGAGTGACTTCAGCTGGCCAGCGGCCTACCTCGCAGGCCGTCCGATCGTGTCAAACCGGTGTTTGATTGCTGTCTGTGTCACGGTGACATTCGAACTGAACCCTGTTTCGCGGATCCCTTCGTCCCCTTGGCCGCCCATCTTGCAGCCCGGCGTGCCGCAGCAGTACTACTCAGCAGCCCCCCCGATGCCGCCGCTGTACCCTGCGGCGGCGTACGGCCCGCCGCCGGCCACCGCAGCGGCCGCCGGCGTGCCGTGGTGGGTGTGGATGGGCGCGGGCATCATCGTCGCCAAGGTCTTGGACTTTGTGAGTCGCTGATGCCCTGTCGGTTGTTTTGCTGCTGGGGCGCAGGGTCAGTCCAGGTGGCCCACGGGGGACAATTGCAGGCATGCATGGCTGCGGAAGTGGAGACCGTGGCGGTAGATCCAGCAGCAAAAACGCAGGCACTGTGCGGCTGGCGGTTGCTGGGGCCTTGGCTTCTCAATGGCTCTCCGCTGTGCTGGGCTGGCCTGGGGCAGCAGCGTCGGGCGTTGCGCCGGTCTGCGCTCACAGATTCTTGTGCTGGCTGCCCCTTGACACACAACACACAGGTGCAGAACCTCATGAAGAAGGGGCCACAGGCCATGATGACGGAGATGGTGCGCCCTGGCCGGGCTGGCGAGGGCGTTGTCTTGGAGGGGGGGGGGACGATGGGGCACGGCGCTTGCAGCAAGCAGCAGCGGGCCACGGGCCCAATTGCATGGATGGGTGGTCTCATGGAGCGTCCCCTGCTTTTTCTTGCTTTTGCGGGGACAGGGGGCGCGAGGCAGGGGTTGCCGTGGCCGTTAACTCACAGATTGGGGGAGCCAGGCAGCTCACGGGCCACAACATGGACGCGACAGGGAACGCAGTCTCGGCAAACCCAGCATCTGACCCTCATCCCCCCCCCCCTGCATCACCAGGCAATGAAGCAAATGATGAAGGGAATGAACATGCCGCCCGGCATGAACATGCCGCCGGGGGGCGCTCCTGGAGCCAGGTCAGCAGCACGAGCAAGCGCTTTGGGGCAGCTTTCAGGCAGCCTCCCTTGTGGGCGGCAGGTGTGCAATTCTGTGGCGCGGATGGAACCCATGCATGGATTTCTTCTGAACATGCAAAGTCCAGGCACTGCACGTCTGGCCAACTTGCCCCTCACAACCCCACCCGTATGTCGCAGCCCCTTTGGCGCTGGCGCGCCGCCCAACTTCGGCCCCTACGGCGCCTCCAACCCCTTCGCGCCCAACTTCAAGCCCCCGGTCGACACGACCGCGACGGCAGTTCAAACCCCCACGCCCGCCGCGCCCGCCGCGCCCACCGCCGACAATGGCGCGCCTCGGGGCGAGAAGTTCGCGGCGCGCGTGGCGAGCCCTGACGGGGGCAAGGCGGCTGCAGGCTCAGGGGCGGCCGCGGGGAGGGCGGAGCCCCCCAAGGCGACCACAAACGGCATGCCAGGTGCGGGGTGGGCAGGGGCTGGCTCATGCACGGGCCAGGCGTGAGCCGACGGCGTCCGCAGCGCTGCGGGGGCGGTCGCCCTCACAAGCAAGACAGCTGCGGCCTCCGTCAACAGCCCGTCGCCCTGCGCTCACGTGCGCGTCGCCCCTCTGCCTCGCTTTCAGTGGTGGAGGCCGCCGAGGTGAAGGAGCCCTCGAGCAGCGGCAGGGGCGCCGCCGGCGCCAGCAGCAGCGCCAGCGGCAGCGGCCCCGCGTCGGGCTCGGCCAGCAGCTTCTTCACCGACGTGGGCGGCGGCGGCGCGGGCGGCAGCGGCGCGCCGGGCGAGCAGGCGGACGTGGGGCAGATGACGGCGATGATGGAGCAGATGCTTCGGGACCCCAACATGCAGAAGATGCTCTACCCCTACCTGCCTGAGCCGATGCGCAACCCCGACAGCATCGAGTGGATGCTCAACACGCCGGAGGTCCGGAGGCAGCTGGAGCAGACGCTTGCCAGCTCGGTGGGTTGGGCGGCCGCCAGGGACTGCGCCTGCCTGCGGGAGTGGGCGGGGAGCAGCGGCCACGTGTTTGGAGTCAGCCGGGGAAGGGTGCGAGCTGCTGTGCAGGCGCTTTCAGTTGGGGGGCCAGGTCGTGCGTGGGCAGATGTCGGAGGCGACTGCTGCAGGTGGCGGCTGCCTGCTTTGTGGTCGACACCAGCCACGGGCAGGTCTGTCGAGGGCCGCTGCAATTCGCCCTCCCTGACTGCGACCGCCTGCCGGCGTCAACCCCTCAAACCAACAGGGCATGACCATGAGCCCCCAGATGATGCAGATGATGCAGCAGATGGACTTCTCTCAGGAGAAGGTGCAGCAGCAGTTCAGCGAGCTCGGCCTCAAGCCCGAGGACGTCATCAGCAAGGTGCGGGGCAGCCCTGACTTGGCGCGCTTGATTGGCGCACCGCGCACCCGCCCTGCTGCAGCCGTGCCGAGTCCGCGCCGCCGCGGCGCGCAGGCATGCGCCGCCACGACCTCCGATCTTCCAGCATCTCTCCTAGCCAGCTCTCGAGACGCCCCTGGTAAGCGAGCCGGCACCTTCCTTGACTGTGCCGCGCATGCGCGTGTCATCCACCTGCGCAGGTGCTGGAGAACCCGGACCTGGCCTCTGGTTTCGCCAACCCCAAGGTCCAGGCGGCGATCTTTGACATCAGCCAGAACCCCATGAACGTGATGAAGTACCAGGAGGACCCCGAGATCATGAAGGTGCTGGAGAAGGTGACCGAGCTGTTCTCGCCCAACGCGCCGAAGCCGTAGACGCCGTCGCCAGACGATGTGCCAATCGATGTTGTAAATGTCCGTCCTTGGACCCTTGACGGGGCTTTTTCGTCCATGTCGGGTTTGGCAGAGGTCGTGGGGTGGTTGGCAACTGCATCTCTTGAGGGGCGCAGCAGAGCAGCAGGCACACTCAGCTACAGAGCATATCAATCAAGCTTTCAAGTGATATCTCCAACTCAGCGGGAACGGCATCTCTCTCAGTCGGAACGGCGGGCGAGTGACCCTTCGCACTCGGAAGAGATCGGTTGGTAGGGAGGTGCGGTTGGCAATTGTGTTTGCTACCAAGTTTGTTGTGCTTGTCCGGCGCCGCCCTGCTGGCTTTCGCCCAGCACCGATCTACGCGCGGCTTGCGTGCAGGGCGTCGTGGCGGGTGTTCACGGTCGCAAAGGTGAATGTTTCGTACTATTTGTCATATTACGCGCGCCGAAGGCCTCCAGAGGGCGTAATTTTTCCGCCAAGAGCGCGGCGCGCGCAGCACGCGCCTGCGCAGCCACCGAAACCACGCCAGTAGCGAGCCCCGAGCTTGCCCTTCTACACTTGTTTACTGTTGCAGGAGCGCCGTCATGAGGCGGCCCACACGGAGCGCTTCTGCGCCCGCCGCGGAGGCGCCCGCGGGCGCGGAAGCGCCGCCACCCTCCGCACCCGGCCCCAAGCCGCGCTCTCGAGGAGTCCGGCGCGTCGCTGCGGATAGCACACAGCCGAACGCCGGCACTGCCGCCACCACGGCCGCAACCGGCGACGAGGCCGCACCAACGCGCCGCAGGCCCTCGCTGGCGCCTGTGCCCGCGCGTGCGCCAGTTCCCCCGGCGCCTCAGGGCCGCCCTCTTCGCAGCGGCCGCAGCGCCGCGGCGGGCCTGGCTGCCGCGCCGGCTGCCGCCAATGAAGGCGGCGGCAGCAGCAGCTGCGAAGAGGAGGGGGACGAAGAGGAGGGGTCTGACTCCGAGCAGGGCTCGGCAGAGGAGAAGGGGGCACAGCAGAATGAGCGGCAGGGTGATGACGAGGACGATGACGCGCATGAGGGGGCGGGGGACAGCGAGGAGGACCTGGAAGTCGAAGAGGCACCCGCGGCCCCGCGCCGCCGCGGCGCCGCCTCGTCCCGCGCCGGCGGCGCCGCCGCGGCGCTCGCGCGGAAGCGGGC